AAAAAAAAAAAAAAAAAAAAAAGGCAGACGCAGGGAGCGCGTGGAGGGCGGTCAAGGCGGCTTGCAGGGGGGTGAAGGGCGGCACGCGCCCGCTCCCTCCGCCCGTGGGCTGCCTTCAGGCCTTGGGGTGCCTCTCCTGGCCGGGCAGGCGGAGCCCCCGGGGGCTGCAGGAGGTGCTGGCTCAGCCGCTCCTTTAAAGGCGGCTCGGCCGGGCCGGGCTCAGAGCGGCGCGGGCGGCGGAGGCTGGTGCAGGCGGCAGGGGGTGGCGTGTCCCGGGGAGCCCGGCGGCACGGGGATCGCTAGTTCGTGCCCCTGCAGGGCTGGCTGCCCCGAAATTGGCCAGAATGCCGCCCCTTACAATGTGCCGCCCCAGGCACGTGCTTTCTCGTTGGGTGCCTGGAGCCGGCTCTGGGTGGGGGTGGGTTCCTGGGGGAGCAGCTGGGCCCTGACCCCTGTCTCCCGCAGGAGAACGGTAAAGCGGCCTATGTGGAGGCACTGCCAGGGCAGCTGCGCCCCTTTGAGACCCTGCTGTCCCAGAACCGCGCCGGCAAGGCCTTCATCGTCGGAGATCAGGTGAGTGTGTTTGGGGCGGGGGCTGTCTCCCCACTCCTGCCCCCCACAGTGGCTGGGGTATCTGTCCATCAGTCTCCTCCTCCCCAGTGACCAGGGTCTCACTGGCCCCGGCCCTGAAACCGATGGGTCTCATCAGCTGCGTGGGGGCATGGCCATGTGCTGATTCCGCCCTCTCTCCCCAGATCTCTTTTGCAGACTATAACCTGGTGGAGCTGGTGCGGAACCACCTGGTGCTGGCACCCGGCTGCCTGGCCTCCTGCCCTCTGCTGGCCGCTTATGTGGAGCGGGTGAGTGCCCGGCCCCGCCTGCGCACCTACCTGGAGTCGGCCGCCCACCGCGACCGGCCCATCAATGGCAATGGCAAGCAGTGACCCCCCTGGATGGACAGAGGGGGCACTCCCGTGGCACAATAAACAGCTCCCAGACCAGGCCCC